TAACTTCTGAAGAACGGACAAATGACATTTCAGCTGATGTCATGTGAAGTTAGAGTGTCATCTTTAAAAGAAGTGAAAACGTTTTTATGCAAAATTCACCTTTTTTTTTCTTTTTTTTTTAATTAAGATCCTTACAGGAACTCACACAAGGCAATATATGCGAACAATGCTTTGGAAAGTATAACAAGTACACAAATAGGCATTAAGATCAATATTAATATATTACATAATTATAATTTCCAACAAATATTTGTTGAGCTTTTCCTAGGCCATTATTCCATGAACCTGAATGCAAAGAGATATAAGACTCAGAGTCTGGCAAACATAGAAAACCCTACGTTCATTGAATGAACAAAGGAAAGAGGAGAGAGGGAGGTAGAGAGGGAGAAAGAGGAAGGACGGAAAAGAAGGAATCCTTTAAGAGGATTCGAGTCCAACTGGAGAGAAAGTATAAGCACACAAAAAGATAAATACAGTTCAGTGGCATAGGCCAGTATTTTTGCTTATAATGCTGCATGCTCCTCTTCAAAATATATGCCTTTTTTTCCCTTCTTTCTGTAATATTCTTAGCAACAAGTGTTAAACTACTGCCTTAAGACAGCTAATTTTGGAGTCTTGTGTTGTAAAAAAAGAGTGTTATTTGAAGGTAGTAAAATAAAACATAGGAAGCTCTATAATATTGTTCGCACATTCACGTAGTCCATCCTTGGATTAAAATCCAGAGCGTGTTTTCCTTTCAGCCACTGGTAGAAGGAGGCTTTATGCAAACTGTTGGAACCATTACTTGTTTAAACAAGTTTAGAATGAACTTTAAAAATACCGTTGGGGCAGGCAGGTTCGTTGTGATATGAATCATTTGTCTTTGTGAGTTTGAAGAAAAATCTAATTACAAGAAAGTTAAAAATTTTTAAGGACAAATATTATTTTTTCAAAGATAGCTACTCATTTTACTTTGAAAGTCAATATTGAAATGAGTTTTGTTTTCCTGTTGTTTCTTAAAAAAGACACAAAACATTTCTTCCATCTACCATGTACTGAAATGAGATTTAAAGCTTGAACCTCGCACCTTGTTAGTACAGTTCTTAACACCATTTAATGCCTCCATTGCTAACACCCACATATACCAGTATGGAACATTTCTTTGAGGCTAGGGATTTTTAAAAATGTTTGTACTCTTGTTAAATAAGTACATTTATTTAAAAATATTTTTTCATGTATGATAGAATTTTACCTTTCTCCCCCAAGTGTACTATATGAGTTGAAGAGGAAACGAAGTTACTATTAGCCTTTACATGGACTTCCGTATTATTTTCAGTAGGAACAATGAGTTTGGCAGTTTCATAGAGTTACAGAATGAGTGAGTGGAAGAAATCTTCCATGTCATCTAGCCCTACAGATGAGAAAACAGGTCTGGAAAACTTGTGGGATAAAAAGAAAAAAAATCTAAAATGATTACATAGTCAATAAAAACCATGATCTGACTTACAAAGTTTTGAATTACACACAACTTTAAAACTGCATGGGTTCCCTGAAGCAAGATTTCCTGGCCTACCTGCTGAACAATCCAGCCTTGTACAGCTGGGGGGTGTCTGGATTTACCTGGGTCCTAATCCTTTCTACCTGCACTTCCTCCTTGACTTGAGTACAGGCTTTCTGTGTGGATTCTTCACGGGACTTAGCAAAGCAAACTGATATGTGAAGGTGGATTCTCTTTTCCCCAGTCAGTAACCCTCAGTTGGCCTGAATCTCCCTTCCTCCACCTTGTTTTGATGGATTCAGCCATAGACCTGCTTACCTCTCTCCTCTAGGTTTGTTTCTAAGTGATGTTTGTGGTTGTACTTCAAACTGAAGTGGGATTCTTATGGATGAAAGATAGACTACATTTATTTTGGGCTGAGGACCAGACACAGCTGTGAAAAGTCACGTATACGATGAAGCTTGGTTAGTCAGATCATGTTTTCCGAGAGGCAAATAGCAAAGATTTTTAATTTCATTGTTTCAACGCTTTAGCTTTTCATTTTTTGACCCTTAAGTAGAGTTTTCTAGAAAAGGTAAATGCCTAGAGGAAGAAAGTAGACTAGTCTTTACCTCGGGCCGGAGGAGGTGGCTATGGGGAATTACTGCTTTGTGAGTAGAGATTTTCTGTTTGGGGTGATGAAAATTTTTGGGAAACAAATGGTTTTGATAGTTGAATTTTTTTTATTAAAATAAAAAGATTAGATTTCTATGCGTTATTCTTTTTCATACAGTTGTTAATCTATTTATTAAAATGCTGAGCAAAACACAAGGATTTTAGTGGGTATCAAGGACTTGTGAATATATGCAAAGCATAAAGAATTTTTTTTTAATATCATTAACAAAATATAAAGTTTCCTTTTTTTTTTTTTTTTTAAAGTTCAAGTGTGTGTAGGTTCGAGATGCAAACCGCTCTTTAGAAGTAGGACTGTCTTCTAAATCTAAGAGGGGACAAAAATGGAGAAAATCCACTGGTATTTTAAATTTGAGTGTTTTAAGCCAACATCCTGGATGCATTTCATTTTTGAGCGTCATGTAACTAGATAGGGGCTGGGTAAAAAGAATCTGGTGAGTTTTGTATTTTGTTGTCAAATGAATTTGGGTGTCATAAATTCACTTTAAAAGGACTGCCATGTACACTTTGGGATATTCATTCACCATTGAGTTTGGCCTCCCTGTCTGTTTTTTTTTTTTTTTAGAATAATTTTAAATTTGCATAAAAGTTGCAATAATAGTACAAAGTTCCTATATACCCCTTACTGAGTTTCCCCTATCTGCCTCTGTTTGATAGCTCAGCTTCTGATAGTTTTTACAGTGACACATATTATTAAATCATTTAAGAAATCCTGGCTTTCCACTGTGATGAGAAATAGCTCAAAGTCATTTGACAACAAAATATGAAACACCCCAGTTTCTTTTTACCCAGTCCCTGTCTAGTTACATGACACTCAGAAATGAAACGCATCCGGGACGTTGGCTTAAAACACTCAAATTCAAATTCTGTGCTTGGGACTGGTATTCTCAACCAAATTGCTGAACAGAATTTCTAAGTTTCAGAAGAAGTGTACTGTCATCCCCAAAGGAAACGTTTTGACGAATATTACAGAAGACCTTTGAAATTCCTTATCCCCATAGTGTTCTAAATGAGGTTTCTGTCTTAATTTTTTCCCCTTTATCGCTTTAATTTCTTTCCTCTATTTTTTGTAACAGATACTTTTGGAAAATGTTCCGGTTCTAAGTCAACTGGAATTTTTGCACAAGTTAGGACAACAGATGTGGACTCATTTACATCTAATGAGTACAAGACATGCCAGATTTCTTGTATGGCTCAGAGTGGAAGAAAGACTTACTCTTCGATGTGGGCAGGGCGGGGTGGGCATCCTGGTTTTGATAGGTGGACAGCTCAGGAGGCACATTGCTTGGACTTGCCTGGAGGAGCAGGTGCCGTCACTGGGAGCGGTTCCCAGGGAGAGGTTGGTTCCTCACCCATCATCAGCTAGTACTGGCATGTTGGGGAGCCTTGCTTGCAGGGAGGAACCCCAAATAGGTGTCAGAAAAAGAAAATTAGTCCATCCCCATGGTGTGATGGAGAAGTTTCCCATGTACTTGTATTCTTACTCCATCAATGCACAATACAGCCATTGTTTTCAAATCTTTTTTTATAACCAGTGGAATCCTTTCTTTAATGCGCGCGCACGCACACACACACACACACACACACACACACACACACACACACACACACACACACACACACGAGAAAGTCCAGAACGTCAAACAGATAAAAGTAGGCTAGGATTGTCCTGGTAAAGGGCCAGGTGGCTCTGAAGCCCAGTGAGGAACTCCAGCTTCTTGAAGCACATTAAAGAGACTTTTTCCTGAACATGAAATGATTGTTTGATGTGCTTTAAATCTCTCTTAAGTACTGAGTTTCTGTTTAAAAGCCTGTTGCCGTTGAGTCGATTCTGACTTATAGAGACCCTATAGGACAGAGTAGAACTGCCCCATAGGGTTTCCAAGGCTGTAAATCTTTATGGAAGCAGACTGCCACATCTTTCTCCCAAGGAGCGGCTGGTGGGTTCGAACCATCGACCTTTCAGTTAGCAGCCTAGCACTTAACCACTGTTTCTGTTTATGGTGACGTAAAACTTTTGGAAATGGTTAGTGGTGATGGTTACACAACATGGTGAATGTAGTTAATTATCATTGAAGTGGAAGAAAGTGAATCGTATACTTCAAAATGGTTAAGATGGCAATTTTTTTGTTATACATTATTATACCACAATTAAAAAAAATCTCTTTTAAGGTAAGTTGTACTAGACCATGCTGCAGCCTGATGAATCATGGCAAATTAAAAAGTAAAACCGCTTTAACAACCCTGCTGTTTTGTGGATTCACTTATATCATGGAGCGAACTAAACTCTTTTTTTACACTATCGAAAGTCTACACCGTTCCTCTTTAGCGTCACCGAGTGTTAAGGTTTTTGCCATGCTTCTTCCAGATCAGCGTGTATTTTGAAATGTACTTTTTGATGAGCATCATTATATAGAAAAATTTATTCTAGGATCATCTTGAAAGGAAAAGGGGCTTGTTTTTGCATGGAAGATATTGAAATTTTCCATCGCTTTCTTTATACTGTTATTTCTTCACCATTATTGTCTTGCTGTGATTGTAGAAAATTTGTACTGTGGTTATATAAGTGAGTGTCCTTGTTCCTAGGGCATACACACTGAAATATTTGGAGGTAAAAGGGTCTGATTACTCTCACAGTTCAGAAAAAAATATATATGTATAAATAAATAGACACACATAGAGGGGAGAGGGGCTGAAGGAAGCAGGGTGAATGCTAACCATTGGTGAATCTGAATGAATGATATACAGGAATGTTTTTGTCCATTTTTGAAACTTTTTTCTAAAGGAGTGAAATTATTTCAGAGTTGAAAAAATTATTTCATGTCTGGTTTCTTTGTGTTTGCTCCATTAGTCAAACTGGTACGATGTCCAGGCACCAAAACCAGAACACCATCCAGGAATATCTGCAGAACTGCGCAGACTGCCTGATGAGGGCTGAGCTGATCGTGCAGCCTGTGAGTTGTCTTTGTTCTGGGCAATTCCCCCTAGCTGTTGTCAGCGATGGATGTTGTTCCTGGCTAGCTTAGGCGCTTCTTGTCCTGGCCAACCCGCCCTTCTTCGCTGACCTCATTCACATCACTGGCTTGAGAGACTGCCTTTTTCAAAACAGATTAGAGTGGGATGTGTATCATCTCAACCTACTTGTGATGTTGGTTTAACAATGAGAACCAGTCTCCACACAAAGTTGTTTTTTTGTCCTCAACAAATATTTACCCTACAAATTGCTACCCTTTTGGAATTGCACCAACCTATTGTTATTAATGTGATTTTGTATTACATTCTCTTTCTAGAAATGCAACCTGACATGTTCATGTCACTGGATTGTAATGGGTTGTGATGTATACCATCCATTAAATAAGAATTTTTTTCAGGAAGAATGGCCACAATGTGAGAACAACTGTATTTGAGAAACATTAAAATGTGGGAAAATATGAATTTGAAAATTGAGGTAATATTTATGTAGGACCTCATGGTATTTCTTGAGGTAGCTGAGCTGTCTTAGGATCCCATCAAATCAGTCTTTGAAATCACTGGTTCCATGATATAAAACACTGCAGCATTCCCATTTGCTCCGAGTTTGCTAAACAGATGAGAGAATGGTGGGTCCATAGCCACCTCTCCTGTTGCTCCCCTGAATTATTGTATCTTTTCAGCAAAGGAATGGAACCCTAGTCTGATGTTAATGTAGGGTTAAACCTGGAATCTGCCTCTCCACAAAGCACCTCTGTTAAATGTTCTGTCTATGATTGAAGCAGGCATTTTAACCAAGTGAATTTATGGGCTGTGTGTGAAGACGATCTAATGTTCCAGTTTCCTAATTTTACATATTGTGTGGGTTCTGGTTCCAACTCATTTCCTCCAGTTAATAAAAACAAACAAACCTGACTTTAGTCCATGTAAAAAGATAGCTGAGGTTCCACAAACTAGTTTGGGTCCAGTTCTGGTTGGTTGAACTCTCTGATCTGAAGCATTCTCCTCTAAATGTCCATCATGGTGCTGTGATTTCTTTACAGAATGCTGCATTGGAGGCCCCAGGGTCTTCATAGTGGACCTTCATACCCAGCCCTGGACAGGAGTTGTAGTGGCTGTGGATACGTTTTCCATGCGGTTCTAAAAATTTGCATGGCATCATATACTCAGTTTTTTTTTTTTTTAACTTGTACACATTGAAGTGCAGTAAAAATATGTTAGGGAAATGGTACCATATTTGCTAACATTTCTGTCTAGAGAAATGAGGTTCATTTGCAGTAAATGTAAAATTCTAGGTAGAGCTCATATGTGGCGCTGAAGCAGCAGCCTTTTGCATATGAATAGAATAAATAAACCTTTTTATTTTGACATAATTATAGAATCACAACAAGTTGCAAAAATAGTCCAGAGAGGCCCCAGGTACCCATCACCTGGCTTTACCCAGTGGTGACCTCTGATGTAATTACAGTGTAGCATCTAAGCCAGTAAATGACTGGCTCAATACAATGAACTAGATGGAAACTCTTAAATTTTTTAAAGAACTGAAAAGTTATGTTCCCATAAGATGCAGTAAAAGCTCAGTGTTGTGTGTTAAAGACCCTATTCGGTATCACGGCCTAAATGGTACAGCGTTCTCGCCACAGTGGAATTCCCTTCCGATGGGAGTTATATGTCAGTGTGAATGCTCAGTGTTTCACAGATTGAAGCAATGAAAAGATTAGCATTCTGTAAGTGTGCTTTTAATAGCTTGGTGAAAATGTAAAACACAGTCCACAAGTTTCTGGTTCATGAAATCTTTCTATATTTACTTCTTTATCTCAAATTAAGAAGATAATTTTCAGTTGGAAATTTTTCACAGTTGGGAGGGGGAAATTTACAATACTTTTTATGTTTGCAGTGGAACTTTTCTTTCCAGCATTGTATTTGTTTTCCTTCATGTGAGTTCTTTCTTTTAGGAACTGAAATATGGAGATGGATTACAGCTTGCTCAGAGTCGAGAGCTGGATGAGTGCTTTGCCCAGGCTAACGACCAGATGGAAATCACCGACAGCTTGATCAGAGAGATGCGGCAAATGGGCCAGCCCTGTGAAGCTTATCAGAAAAGGTATTGCCGATAGAACGTGAGTGCAGGCAGACGTCACAGGGAAGAATGTAGCATACCCAGTTATACTGCAGTCCCATGACCCAGGTCTGCCTTAGAAGGAAGCGCAAGTATTCTTAAGGAAAGGCTGGCTTACTTAGTATTTTGCAACTTTATGTATCTCGGATATAAATTGACCAAAATCACCATCTTCGAATTTTGTGAGACCACAAAGCTGCCCTGAAGAGAATTAAACAGGCCTGCCCAAAAGGGGAGTGAACATTTGAAGGTGCTTCTTTTGACGAGCTGAGTTTGTTTTGAGAGAAGTTTATTTTAAGGGGTGTTAACTGTACCTTCATGTAGAGGGTAGGAAAGCCCAGTGCACAGCATTTGACTTAAGAGTCTAATGTCAAGGCAGGCTTAGTTTAATGGATACAAAAATGAGGCCCTTTCAGTTGGAAACAACAAGAGTGTAAACCAAGGATGTGTGGTCTGATTTTGCTCTAATGGTGTGCAGGGTGCTAGGAAGTCCCAGGAGGAAACTCATGAGAAAGAAAAAGGTGCTACCAGGTTAAAACCAAAAACCAAACCTGTTGCCATTGAGTCGATTCCTACTAATAGCGACCCTATAGGACAGAGTAGAACTGCCCTATAGTTTCCAAGGAGTGTCTGGTGCATTCGGACTGCCAACCTTTTGGTTAGCAGCCATAGCACTTAACCACTATGCCACCAGGGTTTCCGCTACCAGGTTTGGCAAAGGCAATTAAAGTTTGTGATATTTCAGGCTTTGAGCATCATCATAAAGTTTATTTTTTGTATATCATCAAGATTCTTACGTCATGTGGTAAAAAGTCTTCAGAGTAACTCAAAGGAGACTTAGAAAAGGGGACCTTTGCCCAGAACAACGGTTTTGCTGCAAAGATGTAATTGTGTTTCTTCCCTTTCAGACTGCTTCAGCTTCAGGAGCAAATGCGTGCCCTTTACAAAGCCATCAGTGTCCCGAGAGCCCGGAGGGCCAGCTCCAAGGGTGGTGGAGGATACACTTGTCAGAGCAGCTCAGGGTGGGATGAATTTACCAAGCGCCTCACCAGCGAATGTCTGGGGTGGATGAGACAGCAAAGGGTAAGCAGCTCTGGAGGACGTGCTGGTTCTCAAACACTCCAAACTCGTGTGAGCCAGGTATATAGAATGTGGCAGGTCAGGTTAGCAGCAACAACATGCTGTTTTCAAAATTTTCCTCATTTTTAATTTGAAATGAGCTTCTAATGTGAAATAAATGAACTTCAGACAGTGGTTTCTGCACATACTTTAGATGTCTTACTGCAGTATGTGGTGCTTTGCATTATAAACCCAGGCATTGTACACCTTGAATTTCTACAATTTGTGGTACAGAAAATGAAATGTCATAAAGATGTTCCTGGGTTCCTCTGATGTCCCTGGGTAGTGCAAACGGTTAACGTACTTGACTGCTAACCAAGTACATTAAGGTTAGAGGTTTGAGTCCACCAAGAGGTTCCTCAGAAGAAAGACCTGGCGATCTATATCCAAAACAACGAGCATTGAAAACCCTATGAGCACAGTTACTCACGGGACTGCCATGAGTCGGGGCTGGCTCGATGGCAACTGGACATGCTTAGATGACTTGGCTTTAGAGCAAGGAAGTCAGAGTGTCAATTTTTCAAGCTCAGAGGTATCTGTCAGAAATAATGCAGCTTATGTCCATTGCAGCCTTTCCTCACGTGGTAGGTGCCTGCCTTTCTGTTTGTCCAGGAATGAGGGCTTACTAGTCCCCATTTACATACACTTGGTTTGATCATTAATCAGGCTTATTTTTATGTGTGTCTTAGGGAATCCACCTTGTCGCTTTCTAGTCGTACTTGATCATACATTTAACAGATACAAGTTTAGTACGTTTTGAACATCTGGCTCTCCTTGTTCACAGCGGGAAAATCTGTTAGGGGAGTTCATTGTTCTACTGGGAGGTATAACTGACCTCATCTGTGTTGCTAAGAAGCGCTTTTTTAGAAAAAAAAAACATCGTGGAGGTTTATCTAGAATGTTACCAAGTTGGAGGAGCTGGAAACACAATGAAACTGGATATTCTGGTTTGGGCTCGCTGGCTGGCTGCTGGTATTTTTGAAGTGTCAGTTGCCTGGTTGTGCTACCATGACATCACTGGAGTGAAGTAAAATAATGGCCACAAAAGTATGTGCTGGCCCTTTCCCTAAAACTAGAGTCTACAGTGTATTTCTGAATCTTAATTGTTGTTTTGTTGTTTTATGTGGTAATTAGGCATTATAGTGAACAGGCGGCAGTTGACATATGCCATGATCATGTAGATGGAAATTTTGTAATGAAAACCTGCTCCTCATGACCCATCCTTCACTTGAGAGGGTGGATAACTTAGAATGATAAGTTGTGGCGCAATCAGTTGTTAGGTGATGCAGTTGTGGTTGTAAGAAAGCTTGGCTTTACTGGTTGGCGTTGGACCCATTCAGCAGTGGTTCTAGAGTTTCTCAACCGTTTGAAAATTCTCGTATGTATTCTTTCCTCAGTGGTGAGGGCCTGTGTGAGTAGTCATTCACTGATTTGGTTAGCATTTTCTCCCATTTATTAGAAAGACTATCTAATACAATTATGGAGTCCCTGGGTGGTGCAAATAGTTAACATGCTCTGCTGCTAACTGAAAGATTGAAGGTTCAAGTCTACCCAGAGGCACCTCAGAAGAACCCCCCCCCCCAAAAAAGCCAAACCTGTTGCCATCGAGTCGATTCCGACTCAAAGTGACCCTATAGGACAGAGTAGAAAGGCCTGGCAATCTACTAATGAAAAGTCAGTCATTGAAAACCCTATGGAGCACAGTTCTACCCCGACACACACGAGGTCACCATGAGTTGGAATAGACTCGATGGGAACTGTAAAATACTATTACAGAAGATGGGGTTTACAGAGGAGAAAAGTCAATTGTAATTCCAGAAACCTCAATATAAATCTAGTTGCATGTTTTCAAATTTCCTTCTAATCTTTGAACACATTTCTTGAGCAGTTTATATGTATTGGCACTGTGCCAGAAACTGAGGGTTCAAGAATTATGCTCCATACTCCTGAAGAGCTTATATTTTTTAATAAAACAAGACACATACACCCAAAGTGCCAATTTCTATCCAGAGCAACATGTGATTAATTGCCATGTGAGAGCTTGATAAAGTCTTGCTTAGTTAGGAATGGGAGATCGAAGTGGGCTGGTTACTGTGGAATGGAGCTTTCACAGCAAGACCTGCAGAGCTGCTGGGATTTGAACTGCATCTTAACCATTAGGTGAAACAACCTTTGAATCAAATTAGCTGTGAATGTCATATCCCCTAATTTCTTCTTAGTCAGTAATGAACAGTTACAGAAAATGACAGCTCATAATTTGTCATTTTCTGTATTCATGTTGGTTGTAGTTTTGTAAGCGTACTTTATAGCAAAGGCTCGACATGTTTACGTTTCAGAAGATGGTGTTATCAGCCGGACTCAGCTTTATGTCCTGGTGTGGCAGCGTTTTTTAACAGATACAATTGATGAGAATCAGAGCCTTCCAGCTCAGACGGCCCCAGGGATGCAAAAGTACTAAAAGCTGTTTTATCACGTACTGCTGGTTTGCACTAGGATTTTCCCCAGCCTTTTCCTTTCACCCCTTCCTCCCCCGAGCCTAGCCTGCATCCTTCATTTCACTCCCAGGAGACTGAGTAGCAATGCCCAGCTGATAAAGGGGGCCATTTCCCCAGCCGCACAATCAACAGCAGGCACACAGCTTCTTTGCCAGGGTTTTGTTTTGTTTCCTTGATTTGTGTTTCTGCTGGTGGAAGGGTCAGATACTATCCACTGGGCTGATAACGAGGGGTGTGAGCTGAAGCCGTTCATCTCATGCACTTCCTAGGGCACTTGCCTGGCTGTTTCTGTTTTAAAGCGTGGATGAGCACAGGAGAGAAGGGTCAAAGTCCTCGATAACTCCTAGTTGTCTGACCCTGAAATGGCTCCCCTCTCTGAAGGCTTGCCAAGTCTATCGGAACATGGTTGTGGCTGAGAACAACGTGTATTATGTTCTTGTTACAATGCCACACTGAAATGCGTACCTTTGGCGTGTCTAAGAGATAACACAGGTGTTTTGGAAATTTACACATGTTTATGCAAAAGAAAGGTAAAATAATAGACTTGCCACAATAGGACATTTGTGGATTAATGTATTTGATTCCTATTATGTGGCTTTCTTGAATTTGAAGTAGTGGACACTCAAATAATAAATTTAGTCTGATTTAAAAAAAAAAGAACTAACATAAACCCACAAGGTTAATATTGCCAAGAGTAATTGAAATTAATACACTGAGTATATATAGTAACTTCTCTTTGAAATGGGCCATAGAGATTTTTGTATGTTATGTCTCACAGCACTGTAACAATTGATAACAGTACTATTAAATAGTCTTCAGAAAAGAGGGTATAATAAATGCTGGAGTTTAAAGAATCAACAATTATATTAATCAAAACGATTTTAGAAATAAACAATGAAAAGTACTTTTAGGTTAGCTGTTTTGCTTGGGAAACAGTGTGTGAACTTAATGAACTTTTTTTTTAATGAACTATTTTTTATGTATATTTTTAAATGCCTGAGTAAAGAAACCTCTGTTGTTTTTATAATATCATTATATATGTAACACACATACTAATATATATCTGTACACACTTGCATGTGTACACCTAGATTTTTTTTTTCTTCAGAGGACATTTTCTAGATTTCAAGGATGCAATTTCCAAATTACCTCCTCGGCCCACCGTGGGCTGAGGTTAAACAAATTCAGGAAAGTATTTGGCGACCCCCATTGGCTCTTTGGGAATCCTGAACCTTTTAAAAATATTTTGGCTTCAAAAATACTATTTCTATCTGTAGTTTTATCAGAATCAGAGCTGTACTTGTTCTTTGGTACTTGGACCCCCTGAGGCAGTAGATGAGTAGGTGAGCCAGGTGCACGGGAGCAGCATTCTGAGGGTGCTCTCTCCCACCTCTGCAGGCCGAGATGGACATGGTGACCTGGGGCGTGGACCTGGCTTCAGTGGAGCAGCAGATCAGCAGCCACAGGGTCATTCATAATGCCATCGGGGACTATCGCTGGCAGCTGGACAAAATCAAAGCTGACCTGGTAAATAAAACGTTTCATTTTAGAGCTTTTCAACAGCATTTTGAAGGACGGGGGAACTACTCTGTATTTCAGGTATCTTTGTCTGAAACACTTGTCTGTTCTTTTTTTCCCAAGAGACTGGAAATTTTTTAAAACCCCATTTCATAAATGGGGAAGTGGAATGGGATGAGCCCACTGTCTGTTGTGCTGACAGAAGGCTCAGGGCACAGTTTGTAGAGAAGGATTGTGGGCGTGGTAATTTTGTTTCCGTGGAAAGCAGAGTATCTCCCCAGATAGCAAAAACGTGGCAGTCGTATAGTTTTGTGTCATTGGTAAGTCATCTCCCATGTGGTAGTTAAAATGTATTGCTACTGAAGTCAATCATGTCTCACCCTGATGCCTTTCCTTTGATTAAAAAAAAAAGGCAGATCTGAAGCTGGTCTAAGAGAATTACAGCATAAAATAGTAGTCTGATCTGGATTGCTTGGTTTGTTTCCCTCCAGATCCCTGCACTTTTTTTGGTTAGTATTTTTCCCCTTGTACTTTAAATCGTTAACTTTTTTTCACTTAGACCAAAGCCACTCATCCTCAGTTCTCCTTCAAGCTTCTTTGGCCTTATTTTTCCTTCTCTGATACCCTGGGTGGCACAGATGGTTTGTGCTCACCTACTAACCTAAAGGTTGGCAATTTGAGCCTACCCAGCTGCACGGTGGAAGAAAGGTCTGGCACTCTGCTTCCATAAAGATCACAGCCAAGAAAACCCTATGGGGCAGTTCTACTCTGTGACACATGGGGTTGCCATGAGTCAGAATCGACTCAATGGCAATGGTTTTTTTTCACAGTACCCAGCCAACTTTCTCCCTTGTTTCTTTAAGATCTAAGGGATCATAAATTGTATTTTTAAACTTTTTTATTTTGTCCTATGGAAATCTTGAAGTGACAGTTACTAGGCCTTTACATTGTGGAGGTGGCTTTACTAGCCAGTGGGGGGTCACCTTCAAACCACCAGGGAAAACATCCCTGCAGTACAAGATTTCACAGAGGAGATACTGCATTGTATTGAGGTGAGTCCAGGATGCTCTTTCTGTATAAATCCACCAGGGGAATGAAATAATTACTCACTTTTTGTCTTCTTCTAGCGTGAGAAATCTGCCATCTACCAGTTGGAGGAAGAGTATGAGAATCTGTTGGTAAGCCGGCTTATTTCTGAAGTGCACACAGTCTCTGTTCATGTTCAGCTCTGTCGGTCCCACAACTACTGAGTGCTGCCTGGGCATTATACTTGGCCACATTGGAAGGACCCTTGGGTGCTCCTATGTGCTGAGTTCACTTTTACTGCTAGGTTTTCTTTGGTTAGCACCTAGTGCTGTTCAGTTTGCAAGTGTCCCATAAATGGGCTTGTTAAATCCTTTCAGTTAAGTGTAACTTTTCCCCTTGTGAACTGCAGACTTTTTATGATGTGTAAGCAAAATATAAGACTTGTTTTCCTCCGTGAGAGGTTTACCGAACTGTCATCACCATATGACAACAGACTCCAAATCGAGTACTTGATGCATAAGAAGAATATATATTTCCATTCTTATGTCTATTTGTGTATCCATGTCTTCACTCTCAATATTTCCTTGTTGGCAGTGATATTTTTTAAATACTGAGCCTAGTAGCGACACAGCAATTTTCCTTAGTTAGGGCTGGGGCGTGACTGACGGCACCTTGAAGTTTGGGGGAGGAAGAGGGCAAGAAAAGCATGATTTATCTTTTTTTTTAATGAAAGTTTTTTTTCTTTATTTTTTATTGTGGTAACAATGTACATAGCACAACATTCGCCAACTCAACAGTTTTTGCAGGTGCAATTCACTAACATCGATTACATTAATCACGCCGTGCAACAGCACCTATACCCGTTGCCAAATTTTCTATCACTATTAACAGATATTCAGTGCTTCCTAAACAATGATGCCCCCTCTTCCCCTCCCTCCTGCCCCTGGTAGCTGCTAATAAACTTCGGTGTCTATACATCTGCCTATTCTAGTTGATTTATCTTTTTAAGAATCCATTTTCCCTTTGTAGTCTAAAATTATTAAATCACAACCCTTCTGGATCAGGCCGTTCCATTGCATCTGAAAATGCTATCTTGTTCCTCATGCTGTCTGGATCAGCCCTCTTCACATACCAGCTGGAGGTGAATGTGCAAGGTTACCGTCCTACCTGTTCTTGTGCTTTTCTTGTAAAAGGGACCAACATGGTTTAGCAGTGAAGTTTGTAGAGAGCACCATTAGCCTGCATGTTGTTATTCCAATGCTGCCTTTGAATGTTCCCTGCAGAAAGCATCCTTTGAGAGAATGGATCATCTGCGACAGCTGCATAGCATCATCCAGGCCACATCCCAGGAGATCATGTGGATCAACGATTGCGAGGAGGAGGAGCTGCTGTATGACTGGAGCGACAAGAACACCAACATTGCTCAGAAGCAGGAGGCCTTCTCTGTAAGCTCGCCCCCCAGTAGTTGTAGATTCTTATTTAGACACTGGTCTTGGAGGGCTACAAGGTGGGGATGAATGACCTTTTAATAATTAATCAGCTATTTGTAATTCAGCCCTGGTTGAAATAGTCATTCCTTTCTGGGAGATTTTCAATGGCTTAAGAGGGGCAATACATTGTTTAGTATCCCAGAAGACAGTAGTTTGTTTAGATATGGTGGAATTCCTTCAGTCAGATAACCCAGAGTGTGTGTAGCACTGCAGTATGGTGGATGAAAACCTGGAATTAGAAAATCTCAGTATTAATTGCAGCTCTGTCTTTCTATCTGTGTTGTCTTGGACAAGGCATTTCATTGGTCTGGCCTCAGTTACATGCTAGATGATCTCAAATATCCTTTCCAGCATTAAAAATTCTATGTTTCTTAAGGAAAAAATGATATGATTCTTTGGCATTTCTCATTTCCAAAATGCAGTTTTGTATTTGACTTCCTTTAAATACTATGAAATTGCTAGAAGGCTAATGGTGACTTGCCCTAAAGGATTTGTTTCTGATTTTTCATTCATAGATACGGATGAGTCAACTAGAAGTTAAGGAAAAAGAGCTCAATAAGCTTAAACAAGAAAGTGACCAACTTGTCCTCAATCAGCATCCAGCTTCAGACAGAATTGAGGTAGGCTTCATGAGATCTGTTTTTTATTAGAAAAAAAAGGGAAACTTTTCACAAAGTAAGACCATACAGATGAATGAGTCTTATCTATCATAAAGCCATGCCAACTTTATTTTATATTTTGGGGTCAACACCCTAGACCAGGAGTTAGCAAACTTTTCCTGGAAAGGACGATAAAAGAAATACTTTAAACTAGCGGGCCATTCAGTCTCTGTCATAACTGCTTAACTCTTCCATTGTAGCATGAAAACAGCCATAGACAATGTGTAAATGAACGATCATGGCTGTGTTCCAATAAAACTTTATTTACAAATTTAGGCAGCGGGCTGGATTTGGCCCTTGGGCTGTAGTTTGCTGACCTCTGCCCTAGACTACCATCTGTGGGCTGTTCTCAAGACTGACATTAGCTGGCAGCTGTGGTATGGCCATATTGGTTGTTAAAGAAAAATCAAAATACTTCCATATCAGTTGGTAAAAGTTACTGCCTTAAGCCCCTTCTCCAACGTTCTGGATGCCTCGGACCTCCCCATCATCTTGCACCTCTGCAGGAACAAGGCCTGGTACAGGGTGTTCAGCACTTTCCCCGGGGTCCGTTCTGACTGGTCAGTAGCTCTGCCATTTGGGTATGGAAATATTTGACTAGTACTCCTAATGGTATCTATTTATTAAAGCTGATTTTAAGATTTAATTTCCACCATACCAAGATTTCCCAGTTGGGAAATTCCATTTTTAATTTTTAGAAAAAAGGTTGCTTGATTTCATAGCTTTCCTTCATAGGCTCCTCTACCTATCGAGGGTACGTATGGCTCTGTACTGCTCAGGAAGGTCCCCCGGTGAAGTAAATGGTTTACACTTGACTGCTAACCTAAAGCGTGGCTGTTCGAACCCACTGCCTCAGAAGAAAGCCCTGGTGATCTGCTTGCATAAGATTACAGCCATTGAAAACCCTCTGGAGCACAGTTCTACTCTGACGCACATGAGGTCACCATGAGTCAGGATCGACTCGATAGCAGTGGGCCCTATACTGCTGAGTGGCATGACAGCTGACGACAATGTCTTGTTTCAGGCATATATGGATACTCTTCAGACCCAGTGGAGTTGGATTCTTCAGATCACCAAATGTATTGATGTTCACCTCAAAGAAAATGCTGCCTACTTTCAGGTATTTATACTTAGAGATAATTTTCATTGTCTTTTAGGACTTAATACCTTAGATTTTGTGTGCATATTAAAATGCACTAAAAAACAATCTTCAAAATATCACATAAGTAATGCTTATTGATTTTCAGTTCAGAGGAGTGTAGATTTGTAACCTCGTCACCAGTCACTCCGATAAGTTAATATATTTTCTTCTCTAAGATTTTCTGTTAGCCACCTGTCACATAGACCTTTAGGGGATTATTTTCCTTCAAATAGAAATGCCAGAAGATACTATTTATTGAGGTCCCTGAGTGGCACAAACAGTTTGCACTCAACTACTAACCTAAAGGTTGTCAGTGTGAACCCACCCAGTGGCCTAGGAAGAAAGGCCTGGTGATCTGTTTCTGTAAAGATTACAGCCAAGGAAACCCTATGGAGTAGTTCGACTCTGTGACACATGGGCTTGCTATGGGATGGCGTCAGCTTGATTAATGGGTTTGGTTTTTGGTTTTATTGTTTACTGAGTTGCTTTTTATTGACATGGAATCACTCTCATCTTTGCTAGTTTTTTGAAGAGGCCCAGTCAACCGAGGCCTACCTGAAGGGCCTGCAGGACTCCATCAGGAAGAGGTACTCCTGTGACAAGAACATGTCTCTGCAGCGCTTGTTGGACCAGATCAAGGAGCTGGAGGTAACTCAGCCCCTAAGCCCTGCAGCCTTACCAGTGGGGAGATGGCATGCCCCTGTCCAACGCAGTTCACTGCTGCTTTGTACTATGGTGCAGAACAGAGCTTCAGCTAGCATTTTCTTCCTTTTCCAGTGGTTTTTCTCAGCGTGAATTTCTTTACATGCTCAGCTACGGCAGAAAATTACTTTTGATTCACAGTACCTGGGTGAATTGCTCAGAGTTCTTATCAGAACAAAAACAAAAAGGGCCCTGATGGCTTAACATGAAAATTCCTTCGGAAAAGCATACTTCAGGTTTTATCAAGAGAGTTCTTTCACACAGGGGTATTCTTTCCTGCCCATTTAATTCATGGCCAGATAGCTTCCTGAGAGGCGTGTTTTGAAAGGTTCCCATGTTCCCCAACGATGAATTTGTGGCTTTTTACAGCTAATGTAACTATAGTGAGGTTTAATTTGTAGTATCATGGTAATTCTATTAATGTCATCTGAAGATCTTATCTAAAATCCACAGGGAATCTATTTTCAACTACAGTTTTAATTTGTAATTGCAGAAAGAACGAGAGAAAATCCTTGAGTACAAGCGTCAGGTGCAGAGCTTGGTAAACAAGTCCAAGAAGATTGTCCAGCTGAAACCACGTAACCCAGACTACAGAAGCAATAAGCCCATTATTCTCAGGGCTCTTTGTGACTACAAACAAGACCAGGTGTGCGCTCAGTTACTCAGAATGATACAAAAGTGTTCCCTTTCTTAACATATAGATGACTGGCAGTCAGAGAGCCAAGTTAATCTAACTTTCAATGAGCACCAGAGTAAACATGTTTTTCTTCTATGTATTAAGCCGCAGTCTGTTGAACAAATGCTACAGCTTCATTCAGTATCATATGATAGTTGTCAATAGTTAAGACAATAGTATTTCTTAAAAATATTTTGATTATTTTTTAAGGCTTAATGCTTCTTTCCTCTTATATGTAAAACTTATCTTTTTATTCTTTTTATAGGGCTTAGTACTTCTTTCTTTTAATATATAAGACTTATTTATCTGTGATGCCTCTCATCTTTAAATTTCTGCCATAAAAGAAGTGAAAAGTGGAGCCATTATGCTGCATTTAAAGTGAATTTTGCAAAAGTTTGTGTGGTAAATTTGGGCATATCTTTTCAAATTTTTTTGTTTTAAAATGTTAAGAGCAAAGCAATCAGACAAGTGATCCCATATAATAAAATCTAATATATAAAATGTGAACTCACAAAGTAGAAAAACTGTGGGGCGAGTTTTTACAAGAGGATTTCTCACCTTACTAATGGATTCCTCAAGCTATCTTTGAAAAGTTACATCATCTAATTCACTTTAAACATAGGTCACTTTATGCACGTCTTTTAGACGCCCATGTATTATTTGAAGGAAGGTACATCAGCATTGTTGGGTTGTGTAAAGATCGGTGTCGTTTGAGAAAAAATATAATTAAGATAGAAACTCAGATGGTTTGCACATTTGTATCTCTGTTTCTATCTTTGGGAAAAAAGGTAAAAATGTGTACCTATGAATAAAGCCAACTTGTGTGCTGCTTGCCTTGCAGAAAATTGTGCACAAAGGGGATGAGTGCATCCTGAAGGACAACAAGGAGCGCAGCAAGTGGTACGTGACAGGCCCAGGCGGCGTCGACATGCTGGTTCCTTCTGTGGGTCTGATTATTCCACCTCCAAACCCATTGGCCATTGACCTTTCTTGCAAGTAAGTTGTTATAAAAGTTCCTAATAGCTATGACATGAATGTGAGTGAAGAGAAAAAGGGCCAAAGCTTATATAAGAAACTTAGACAAATTGTTCCTTATTATATTCATTGTCAAGCCAAGGTTGGAGGTCACCAAGAAAGACACGACTCCTACTCAGGCAGTGGTTGGAATAATGCTTTACTCACACAGAGAAGAGACAGAGCAAGGTCATCTTCGATAGTGGGCATCAGTACCCCATGGCCACTGAGTCTCATTCTCAGGCAGAGCAGGGCTGGTGGTCTGCACATTCTCCTTTTGTGCTTTAGGTGAAGGACCCCGTACCTCCCCACAGATATAGCACTGGGGTTGGCCAGGTACCATGTGACGCATCAGGATAAACAGAACAGAGAAGTACTCAGTAGCCCCTTCCTGATAAGAAAAAGAAGAAACTGGGATGGAGGGAGAGGCTCAGTTCCCAGCCTCCAGTATCAGGGAATGTTCCAGGCCCAAGGCTCTGATTAAGTGGTCCAGGTGAGGGTCGCAAGGCCACGTGACAAACCGCCCTCCCAACATTCACCTCCCTAAAAAGGAACCTTATAATGGTCACCTTACTTTGTCTTGCAATTTGGTGTTAAAGGTATTGTAGTTATTATTGGAGGATAAAAAAGAATATCTGACTGTGTTGAAGGGCAGGAGTGAATAATATTTGTTCACTTCAAAAGTATTGTTTTGACATTCTTCTTTCCCTCAGAAAATCAATAATTTTGCATGTACCAACAGATAAATGGTTTTCCTATCAATATTTGCTCATCAATAGATGGAGGATCCATTTTACAGATTGTTCGATCATATTCTTTTAAATCTTTTATTGGGGAACCGTTCAACCATAGACAGGAGTAGAGAGAATAGCATAATGAACCTCATTATCAAGCTCCAGCCATCATCAGAGTCCCCATGACAGGTTTCTCCCCACCTCCTACACAGTGTTAGACTACTCTGCTGGTTACAAAGCTGCTGGCAAACAAAACCACCACCGTAAAAAAGCATATTGTATAGTTTAACCAAAATGATTTGAATTCTCTACACTAACGTAGATAACTGAGAATGTGCTTTGGGGGAGTCAGCTAATCCAAATCCACTGAAATGTTGAATGTTTTGAAAGTTGTACGTGCACCTGTGACTTCATTAGTTATTGCTTTAGATTTTGTGCAATTGTGTAAACATGTCCAGGTTTCCCGTTCGGGATGGAATATGAAAGTCTGGCTCTAGTAACCTTTCCTTTTGCGCCTCTAGGATTGAGCAGTACTACGAAGCCATCTTGGCTCTGTGGAACCAGCTCTACATCAACATGAAGAGCCTGGTGTCCTGGCATTACTGCATGATTGACATCGAGAAAATCAGGGCCATGACCATCGCCAAGGTATGTCCTTCCGACGGTCAGGCTGCTGGGAGGGAGGCGCTAGCTTCTCCCCGCAGTGCTGGTTTCTACCAGGCAGGTCCTCTAGCTGTGCAGCTAATGCTCTTTTATTTCATCAATAAGCCATCATAGCCTTTCTTAGAGGTTCTGCTCCATCCAGTATAGAATGGGAGGAATTAACACACGGCTGGTTACGAGACAAACAGAAATACTAATTAAAGTTACCTGACAAGTTGAAAGTACCCATGGAAAAGGCACATGGCCCTGCACTATTATGGATGTAATGGAAAGTTAGGTTGTAAAGTATTAATTGGGTAGCACAAAAATAAACGTTGGGATGGAATTCTTGAAATCGGTGGTTTTCAAATTGTGATCTGAAGAATCCTAGATGGGAGGTGGATACTTTAGGGTGAGAAGGATGGAAGTGAAGGAGAGGCATAGAATGAGAAGGTGTAAGGGTCCCTCACCCCCTTTTCTCTTCTTCAGTCAGAGCAGCTTTGCTGTGATCTGCTTTACATTTGGGGCTTCTGAGTAATATTTCATTTGAAGAAAGAGTTCTGTAGAAAAATAAAATTGACAGCCTATTGCTGTGGTTCTTAGCACCTATTATAAAAAGAAAATAATTTCTAAACCCTCAAAGACTTTTTTAATTGTAGTAAATATACAGGTAACAAAACATTTGTCATTTCAATGCTCTTCACATGTACAATTCAGTGACATTATGTTCATCGTGTTTTTCAAGCATCACACTTAACCATTCCTAAATTTTTCCACCATCCTTAACAGAAGCTCAGTGTCCCCTACCTCAAAGACTTTTATGTCTTATTGGACACATCCCAAATGCTGCCTCAAGTCCCATTCTAGAAGGTTGGGGTATTTTTCAGCAGATTCTTCTTGGCAGCACTATGGGGCAGTAATTCCTAAATACCATTTGCCTGGTTTACTTTCAGCTGAAAACAATGCGTCCGGAAGATTACATGAAGACGATCTCTGATCTTGAGTTACATTACCAAGAGTTCATCAGAAATAGCCAAGGCTCAGAGATGTTTGGGGATGATGATAAGCGGAAAATCCAATCTCAGTTCACTGACGCTCAGAAGTATTACCAGACCCTGGTCATACAGCTGCCTGGCTACCCCCACCACCAAACAGGTGGGCTTGTGGTGACTTTCTCTTTGTACCAACCATATCTGCGGTGTTTTTTTTTTAAAAAGTAGTTTGCATGAAACTATTTTTAGAACTATTTCTTTGAAAGAAATACATCAAAAGTAGTTCATATACTGAATTTTTCAGAGTGAAATCAAATGAAGTGGGCATTTTTTTATTGTTGTAAAACTATATATAACACATTTGTCAGTTTAACATTTTTCACGTGTACAATTTACTAACACCAGTTACATTAATCATGTTGTGCATCCATTGCTGATATCTGTTGCCAGACTTTCTCCATCACCATAAACAGAAACTCAGTGACTTCCCTTTACTCCTCCCTTTGGTCTCGATACATTTGCCTATTCTACCTGTTTCATATACATGAGATCATACAACATTTGTCCTTTTGTGATTGACTTGCTTGAAGTGGGCATATTTTTATGCAGTGTGAATGTTTTTGAGGCCCTCTAGCCATGAATTCTCTGACTTTTGTGGTCCTGATGTGTTTTTACAGTAACTGAAATCACTCATCTTGGTACCTGCCAAGAAGTTAACCATAATAAAGTGATTGAAACCAACAGAGAGAATGACAAGCAGGAGACGTGGCTGCTGATGGAGCTCCAGAAGGTCCGCAGGCAGATGGAGCTCTGTGAGAGCCGAATGACCCTGAAAAACATCCTTCTGGCCGACCAAGGTTCTTCACACCACATTACAGTGAAAATAAATGAGCTGAAGGTAGGTAGTGATAGTTATTTTGCCAGAATCCAGGTATATGTATATTTATCTGTGAACTAATTTAAAACTTCCTGGTATTAATATTTAAAGACTAGAAATTAATTTTCAAGAACACAGGCATCTAGCAGGATTTCCTTTTTTCTTTCACATACTTCCAAATTTGTGGAAGGTTACCAGACTGGATTAAACCACCTTTGCTATTGGTTTGTAGGTTGGTGAATCAGGCTACAGTGTTTTTCCTTTGCATGATACAGTACTGTGTTGATTTCAAAGAGTTCCCCAAACATCAGTCTTCTGCCTGAAACAGTCTGTGATATGGATAGACAGGGAACTGACATGGCGAGATTTGATGGGGTAAGATCTCAAAGCCGTTGAAGAGCTGTGACTACAGGCCAAGCTTTTCAACTCCTAACTCAGGGATCTTTTCTGCTCAACCAAACGTGGGCATGGCACTGGAATGCCCAAGGTGTATGTACTATAGGAAAGGGCCCACTTACACAGTTGCTCAGAAGGCCTCCCTGAAGAAGGAAATGAAAAGGCAACTCTATCTTTTTCTTGAATCCTTTACATTTACTGAACTTTTTTTTTTTTTTTTTTATTGTGGTAAAGTATACACAGAAAATTTGCCATTTTAACCACTTTCAAGTATGCATTTCAGTAGCATTAATTACATTCACAACTAAAATTTTTCCATTACCCTAAACAGAACTTTGTTCCCTTTAAGCAGTAACTCCCCGTTCCCTCCTTTCCCAGCTCCAGGTAACCACATACCTACTTTTTGCTTCTATGCATTTGTCCTTGCAATCTAGATATTTCCTGTAAGTAGGGTCATATAATATTTGTTCTTTTGTGTTTGGCTTATTTTTCTCAGCATGTTTTCAAGGTTCATCTACATCACAGCATGTATGAGCACTTCATTTTTTTTAAGGCTAAGTAATATTCCATTGTATGGATATACCACATTTTGTTTATCTGGTCATCTATCGATGGACACTTGGGTTGATTTTTGCCGTTTGGCTATTGTGAATAGTGCTGCAATGAAATTGGTGTACCATCGTCTGAGTCCCTGATTTCCATACTGGACTTTTTAAGGGCAAAATGGTTATAAATAATCACACAGTATAAGTCAGAGGAGCTTTCCTTCTTTTTTTGACAGAGTGTGCAGAACGATTCACGAGCAATTGCCGAAGTTCTCAACCAGCTTAAAGATATGCTAGCTAACTTCAGAGGTTCTGAAAAATATTGCTATTTACAGAATGAGGTATTTGGACTGTTTCAGAAACTGGAAAACATCAATGGTGTTACTGATGGCTACTTAAATAGGTAAACACAATTAATGCTAATCTCAGATACTTAGGCTTTCTTAAACTACATTTTCTCAGATTTAATTGCGTTTATATAATTGACTGGCTGGAGCCCTTGGCTTAGTTTCTGTTCTTAGGGGAGGCTTACTCACATGATTCTGTGGTTTTGAGAAGGTGTCCTGTAGCCTAGGGCGTTAATCCCACTATCTGAAATCTATCACATCTTAGAAGTGAGTTATATTCTCAGGGCCCAAACTTCGAATTCTTAAGTGAGTGTGAAATGGTGGTTTGAATCATGATGGAGAAGAAAAATCAAATAAAATTACCACTTCCTTAGCTTATAAAATAGACAGAATAATTTTTTATGTGCTTTAATATTGTTCTCTTTGTTAATTGTGTCAAGAACCAGCTGTTTGCAGTCTGTTACCAACAGTTTTATTTGCACCCTTTGCTCCTCCAGCTTGTGCACCGTGAGAGCACTCCTCCAGGCTCTCCTCCAGACAGAAGACATGTTGAAGGTCTACGAAGCCAGACTCACGGAAGAGGAAACGGTCAGCCTGGATCTGGATAAAGTGGAAGCTTACCGCTGTGGACTCAAGGTAGCTAGAAAGGTTACTAACAGTGTCCCAGTTTACAGGAAATAATATAAGACTCAATTCTCAATTATAAAGCCTGCTGGGTCTTCATGAGTTTAGAGGATTAGTGGATTTTATTGACCACACATGGTTGATATCAGCAGTTCTTTTTAGGATGCAGTTTTCCAGAGCAGGAACTATGTGAGAAGGTCATTGGTAGTGAGACTCATTTGGGGAATGCTGAGTTATACATAGTTAAATTGGTTTTTATGCTATAGGACTTCACAGAACCTTTGATGTGTTAATATGCATTTACTTATTCAAGAATGGAATATGATATATAGCACTTCCAAACTAATTTACATACTGAGTCCCTTTTAAACAGGGTAGCACAAGGATCTACATCAGGGGAAATGCAATCAGTGGAAATGCAATCAGTAAATACGTTTTCCTGGGTTGATTGTTATCACCTAAAAATACGAATATTCACAGAGTTTTATGAACTTTTTTTTCAGTTGGCCACTTACAGTGTAGCATAAGACGAGAGGAGATTACTTTGTACTCATTTCTCTTGCAGAAAATAAAAAATGACCTGAACTTGAAGAAGTCCCTGCTGGCCACCATGAAGACAGACCTGCAGAAGGCCCAGCAGATCCACTCCCAGACTTCCCAGCAGTACCCACTATATGACTTGGATCTTGGGAAGTTTAGTGACAAAGTCACACAGTTGACTGATCGCTGGCAAAGAATAGATAAACAGATAGACTACAGGTGAGCCCGCTTCTTCCCATATTTTCTTCCCGTTTGGTTGTTCCCAAGCTACTGGTATTTGAGAGTGGTAATTATAAAAAGTAGCGGTTTTGTCTTGCATATAAGTTAGGCATAATAGGAGTCCCTGGTGGTGCAAACTGTTAATGTGCTCAGCTGCTAACCGAAGGTTGGCGGTTTGAGTCCACCCAGAGGCACCTTGGAAGAAGGGCCTGGCGATCTCCTTCTGAAAAATCCTCCTTTGAAAACCCTATGGAGCACAGTTCTGCTCTGACACGCATGGTGTTGCCATGAGTCGGAGTTGACGCAACAGTAACTCATTTTACTGGTAGGCATAATAGATGCTCCTTTAAGGGACTACCTATAACCAGCTTTGTTGGACATGGAGAGAGAGTACCTCAGTACATCAATAGCCAAGTCTGAACCAGCATGTGACAGGGGCCATCCAGGTTCTTAGAGAAATAGTGGAAGCCACTTAGCATGCATTCTGTGCCCTGTTAACTCTTGTTATGACTGTTGGAAGGAGGAGAGGCTTTGAGTGAGCGTTCTCAAAAGCTTAGGAAGATTAAGTCTTATAAAAAAGAAATGCCTTACAGCAAATGAGGGTTTTAAAACATCTTCCGAATTACCTTGCTTGTAGCCCATTTTACTAACAGGTCTTTTTTTAAAAAACATCTTTTTTGAAATATAATTCTCATACTATAAAACTTACCCATTTAAAGTGTACAATTTAGTAGTTTTTACTGTATCTACAGAGTTGTGAAACCATCACCACAACATATTTTAGAACATTGTCATCACCCTAAAAGAAACTCTGTACCCATTAACAGTCACTCCCTATTACTTCCTGCCCCTCCCCCCGCCAGTCCTGGGCAACCACTAATCTACTTTGTCTCTATATAGTTGCCTGTTCTGGACATTCCACGTAAATGGAATCATACTATGTGGTCTTTTGTGTCAGCTTCTTTCACTTAGAATAATGTTTATCCATGTTGCAGCATGTATCAGTACTTTCTTCCTTTTATTGTTGACTAATATTCCATTATACAGAGATAACCACATTTTGTATTATCCTTTCATCAGTTGATTGACTTCTGGGTTTTTTCTATTTTTTGGCTATATCATGAGTAATGCTGCTATGAACATTTGTAGACAAGATTTTGTGTGGACATATGTTTTCAGTTTTCTTGTGTATAGACCTAGGAGCGAATTGCTGGGTCATATGTTAACTCTATGTTAATTTGTTTTGAGGAACAATAGCAGTGCTGTCATAATTTTATTTTATCGGTTTTCCCCAGATTATGGGACCTGGAAAAACAAATCAAGCAACTGAGGAATTATCGTGATAACTATCAGGCTTTCTGCAAGTGGCTCTATGATGCCAAACGTCGCCAGGATTCCTTAGAATCCGTGAAATTTGGTGATTCTAACACGGTCATGAGATTGTTGAATGAGCAGAAGGTACAAGCCAATTTATCATTCCACTGCTGTTTTGAGATTAATTGGGTGTAAACTGTGTTTTCCTCTGGTTTTCATGGCCTAGGTTGGAAATAATAATTATTTAATACTATTAGTCCATTTTGTGAATGCTTAAAGAAAGCTGAGAGGAAGGACAATTGAGATATTTACAAAGAAGTGCGTTTATGAACACAGAAATAATGCAGTGTTGTTCCTCTCATGCTATTGTGTAAAGTGGCTTTAGAAATTGAGATGGTAGGACCAGAACACAGTGCTGACTAGGAAGTAAACTCTTAGATAGAAAATAAGAAGTTGAAGGTCTTCTTTATCTTTTCTGAATGAAAAAAATGCTCATCTTCTAAGGTTTAACTGAAAATATGAGGTCAGTACATGTATTAATAAACTGAAGATCAAAACAAATGACAGTGATTGAAGAGTGAAATAACATTTGTCTTAAGATATCCATACACTTTAACATTTGTAAATATTTCATTTTTGTACAGAGCTTGCACAGTGAAATATGTGGCAAACGAGACAAATCAGAAGAAGTACAGAAAATTGCTGAACTTTGTGTGAATTCAATTAAGGTATGTTGGTTACACAAAGAATTCTCGTTCTTCAAGAATATTATTAACTGTGTTATTTACTAATTCACTTTAAAGATTGTAAATATCTTGAGGATAGTGATTATGACTTTTACATATTTTCTCCTGAACAAACCATAAACGCTTATCCATTAACTTGCATTCATTACAAATTGGCAATATCTGAGGAAATGGATGGTCTTTATTCTTTCAACTGGTTCTATATACAGAAATACCCAATTAGCATATAAAGGTGTACTGCTTGGTGTTAAGAATGTAATATTAGCTGCTTGGACACTAGCAATACACAATACTCTTGGCCTTGGTCATTAGAGACACAGCTTGCTGATTTAAAAGTGTAAAGTTGTAGCTGTCAGTGACTCCTTTTAAGTCCCTTAAGAATATTTTTCTTAAACTTTATTACTTTCCAGGATTATGAACTCCAGCTTGCATCGTATACCTCAGGATTGGAAACTCTACTGAACATACCTATCAAGAGAACTATGGTTCAGTCCCCTTCAGGGGTGATTCTGCAAGAGGTATATATGTGTTTATGTATGTCTTTACATATCTCTTAAAATCTGCCCTTGCTTCTGCCTTTTTCCCTGTCTCCTTCCCTGTCTTACCTACAGTCCCTGAAATTCATTCATTGTTATAGGATATTGCTCTAACTGTACACACTGTGCACAGCAAAGGGCATGGTGGGCAAATCCCACCTTCATTGCTAACTGTGTTATAAGGATCAGCATGAATCCAGTTTCCATTTGGAAAGGGATCCAGTCCTCACCTTCCCACTTCTCCATCCTTGTCGCCAGCCACTCCAGGCGGTACTTTCTCATCACCAGCTACTTGGGGCTGGGGCAGGGGATATCATCTACAAGCGCAATTTCCTCCACTTCAGAGTAGGAAGGCCCTTCTCTCTCCCATCCCTAGCCACCCGGGGCTAAGTCAGAGGATATAAGTTAAAAGGACACAGTCCTTCAGACTGCCAAATAGGCAGATGATGCTAGCCCCTGCTCATTCTCACCCTGCCGGTTCAATAATTCCCTGGAATGGCTCACAGAGTTCACAGAAAGTATACCATACCAATTTATTATAATGAGAAAGGATACAAACGAAGAGACACATAGGGTAAGACGCCCCAGCGCGAGGCCCAGCACAGAGCTTCCTTGCCGCCAGGGGATGCCCTCTGCTCCCTTCCAACCCAGAAGCTCCACTGAGCCCCCATCTTCAAAGCCTTCATTGGTCTCACCACATTGGCCATAGCCAATTACATCACACCCCTCAGGCATCAGGCCCCCAGGTGGTCTGGCTCTCAGAAACCCAGAACAAAAGGCCAAATTGCCTTCTGCACCTCACAGAGACCCATTCAAAAGAGTTTAATAGCAGGTTATGCCCCCTGCCCCCATACCCAGCATGAGTCATTGATATATGGCACGTTTTAGGAGATCGTCAGTGGAAGTCTGAATCTGTCATTGGTATATTAGAGGGTTTGCAGAAATCAGGCTTAAATTTCTAGGTTTAGTAAAGGAGACATCTAAAAGTGAAAAATGTATAATAAGTTTCTAAAAGACAACTTCTTCCCAAAGATGTCAGAGAACATTACATCTCAGGAGGTTCAGGGGAAGCAGTCTGGAGCCATGAGGGTGGAATGCAATGTTTTTAGCCATTTGTTTAGTTGTACTTCTACATTTTGGAAGTAGCATACGTAGAGGAAGGAAATTCACTCTTTAAATTATAATTTAAGTATTTTATTATTTTGGAAAATAAGATTAGTCAACTTGCTTAGGATTTTTTTTTAATCCAACTTTTTTCCCCCTCTCCTTTTCTCCAAGGCTGCAGACATTCATGCTCGATACATAGAACTACTTACAAGGTCTGGAGATTATTACAGATTCTTAAGTGAGATGTTGAAAAGCTTGGAAGATTTGAAGGTAATTTATTACTTCCTTGGGGCATCAAAAAATAGAACTGTATTATCACTGTCTCATTGTGACGTGGATTTGGACATACATTGGTAAAACTGTATTTTCTTTAAACATTTAATAATACTACAGTTTGTGGGTTTATCCTGGGGTTAGTCCCAGATTCTAAGACACTGTTCTAAATGGACTTGTGTAATACTTGCAAAATTGAAGCTACTTTATCTTGCCATAAAACAGTAATTTTGTTTAATGTTTGGTTAAGGAATTTGCTTTAATTCTTTGTGTTAAGTCGAGGATTAACAACATCTTGGAGTAGTTGGATTCGACTATTTAATGTAGAGTGGTTATTTAATTTACTCCTGTTTTCTAATACTTTTGTTTATATGGAAACTCACTTTATACCTTGAAATATAGGGAACATAATTTATAAAATCAAAAGTTTTTGATCTTGAAAAAAATCACCTCATTTTGCAGGTGAGGAAATTGAGACTCAAGGATGATTATAAGATGATTTGCTAAGATTATATAGTTAATAGAAGTTATTAATGGAAGCAGTTAATGGAAGAATTATGACAAGAACCCAGATTTCTTAAATTTTTGTCAAATAGTTTTTGCCTCATATCACACTTTGTATGTGTGTGTGTGGTGGGGTGTGTGTGTGTGCATGTGTTTCTTTGCATGTGTGTCTCTGTGGAGGGGTGTATATGTGTGTGGTGTGTGTGTGGTGGGGTATATTTGTGTGTGTGGTGGGGGTGTTTGTGTGTGTTGTATGTTTGTGTATGGGGGTGTTTATATGCATGTCGTATGCATATGTGTGTATGTGTAAAGAGAAATGGGAAATGGGCAGGAAAATGGGCAGGCACATAGATCTGGGAAGGGGAGAGTACTGCTTCTTTCCTATGATGTGAGGTGTTTTTCTTTCAACATAATTTCTCATTTCAATTCCACAGCTGAAAAATACCAAGATTGAAGTTTTGGAGGAGGAGCTCAGACTGGCCCGAGATGCCAACTCTGAAAACTGTAACAAGAACAAGTTCCTGGATCAGAACCTGCAGAAATACCAGACAGAGTGTTCCCAGTTCAAAGCAAAGCTTGTGAGCCTGGAGGAGCTGAAGAGGCAAGCTGAGCTGGATGGAAAGTCGGCGAAGCAGAATCTCGACAAGTGCTATGGCCAAATCAAAGAACTCAATGAGAAAATCACCAGACTCACTTATGAGATTGAAGACGAAAAGAGGAGAAGAAAGACTGTGGAGGATAGATTTGACCAACAGAAGAATGACTATGACCAGTTGCAGAAAGCAAGGCAGTGTGAAAAGGAGAACCTTGGTTGGCAAAAACTGGAATCTGAGAAAGCCATCAAGGAGAAGGAGTACGAGATAGAGAGGTTGAGGGTTCTTCTTCAGGAGGAGAGCAACCGGAAGAGAGAATATGAGAATGAGCTGGCAAAGGTAAGAAACCACTATAATGAGGAGATGAGTAATTTAAGGAACAAGTATGAAAATGAGATTAATATTACGAAGACCACCATCAAGGAGATATCCATGCAAAAGGAGGATGATTCCAAAAACCTTAGAAACCAGCTTGATAGACTCTTGAGGGAAAATCGGGATCTGAAGGATGAGATTGTCAGGCTGAATGACAGTATCCTGCAGACCACGGAGCAGCGCCGGAGGGCGGAGGAGAATGCCCTCCAGCAGAAGGCCTGCGGCTCGGAGATGCTGCAGAAGAAGCAGCAGCTGGAGATAGAGCTCAAGCAGGTCATCCAGCAGCGCTCTGAGGACAATGCCAGGCATAAGGAGTCCCTGGAGGAGGCTGCCAAGACCATCCAAGACAAAAACAAAGAGATTGAGAGACTCAAAGCCGAGTTTAAGGAGGAGGCCAAGCGCCGCTGTGAATACGAGTATGAACTGGCTAAGGTAAGAAACAGTTACGATGAGGAGATCATTAGCTTAAAAAACCAATTTGAGACTGAGATCAACATCAGCAAGACCACCATCCACCAGCTCACCATGCAGAAAGAAGAAGACACTAGTAGCTACCGAGCCCAAGTCGACAACCTCACCAGAGAAAACAGGAGCTTATCTGAGGAAATAAAGAGGCTGAAGAACACGCTAGCCCAGACCACAGAGAACCTTAGGAGGGTCGAAGAAGACATGCAACAGCAGAAGGCCACTGGCATGGAGATGTCACAGAGAAAACAGCAGCTGGAGATTGAGCTGCGACAGGTCACACAGATGCAAAGTGCAGAGAGTATGAGATATAAGCAGTCTCTGGATGATGCTGCCAAAACCATCCAGGATAAAAACAAAGAGATAGAAAGATTAAAGCAGCTGATAGAAACCGAAACAAACAAATGGAAATGCCTGGAAGAGGAAAACACCAAACTGCAAAGGGCCCAGTATGATCTGCAGAAGGCCAACAGTATCGCGACAGAGACAATCAGCAAGCTGAAGGTTCAGGAGCAAGAGCTCACACGCCTGAGAGTTGACTATGAGAGGGTTTCACAGGAGAGGACTGTGAAGGACCAGGATATCACGCGATTCCAGAGCTTGCTGAAAGACTTGAAGCTGCAGAAGCAGAGGGTGGAAGAGGAGCTGAATCGGCTGAAGAGGATGGCCTCAGAAGACTCGGCCAAAAGGAAGAAGCTGGAGGACGAGCTGGAAGGCATGAGGAGGTCCTTGAAAGAGCAAGCGATAAAAGTCACCAGCCTGACCCAGCAGCTGGAGCAGGCATCCATCGGGAAGAAGAGGAGTGAGGACGACCTCCGCCAGCAGAGGGACGTGCTGGAGGGCCAAGTGAGGGAGAAGCAGAAGACACAGGAGGAGCTGAGGAGGCTGTCCTTGGAACTCGAAGCCCTGAGGCGGCAGCTGGTCCAGGAGCAAGAAAACGCCAAGCAGGCTTACTTGAGGAATGAGCACTTCCAGAAGGTGATAGAAGATAAAAGCAGGAGCTTAAATGAGAGCAAAATAGAAATCGAGCGACTGCAGTGTCTCACGGAGAGCCTGACTAAGGAGCACCTGATGCTGGAGGAGGAACTGCGGAACCTGAGGCTGGAGTACGACGACCTGAGGAGGAGCCGCAGTGAAGCTGACACTGACAAAAACGCAACCATTTCTGAACTTAGGAGCCAACTGCAAATCAGCAACAACCGAACCCTGGAACTGCAGGGACTGATCAGTGATTTACAGAGAGAGAGGGAAAACTTGAGACAGGAAATTGAGAAATTCCAAAAGCAGGCATTAGAGGTATTCACAGATATTTGATCATGGCTTCCCTGTCTCTTAAATAATTCACGCTGTTATCATCTAATCTGAATCACACTCTTGCTACTTAAACGCATGTTTACAGACAGTCTCATTTTTTCTTATTGCTGAACTAGTATGTGTCATGATCCGGACAAATGCTTTAAACTAATCTGCTTTTAAGAACTTCAGCATGTATATAACTTCTGAGATCACTTCTGCTGAATGTTCCACTTTATTTTCTAGAAGATGGCTCTTATTTAGTGAGCTCTGACATACATTTGTAATAAAAAATTTCCTAAATTAAAGCCACACGGTTAACAAAGTAGTTTTCTCTGCAATTTTAAAATCACTTTTTCTTGCTTGCTTAGATGATTTTTCTGTATGCAGTTATCCTATTTTCTTTTAATATATTTCTTTTTGTTTGGCTTTTCTTATTTAAAAATAACTTCTTTAACTTCTACTGCGTTTGACTTCTATAGACAATATTTGTGTGGGGCTGGGTGTGGGATGTATATATCCATATGTTTGTATTGCTTTATTAAACATGCTAGTATAGTTATAATGGGTGAGATGTAGGTATAGAAGGTGTGAAGAAAACTCCCCATATTATTTTTTTCAAACCACAATTACCAAGTAAGACAGGGTCATAACTTCTAGTTACGGGATAAAAAAGTAAGTATGAAGTCATTTATCAAAGTGGCAACATTTATACACACACACACACACACACACACACACACAGAATTTTTGTTGTGAATTTGTAAGATAACAAGTTAACAGTATATCCAGGGAAACCATAGAAAGGGAAAATAAGAAAATAAGTTTTTTTTTTTTAAGATGTAGGAAAAGTTTCAATTATGATGGTAATATGATGTGATCAAAACATTATTTTTTCCCATTTCCTTCTTTTTAAATTCCAGGCGTCTAACAGGATCCAGGAATCAAAAAGTCAGTGCACTCAGGTGGTGCAGGAAAGAGAGAGCCTGCTGGTGAAGATCAAAATCCTGGAACAAGACAAGGCAAGGCTGCAAAGGCTGGAGGACGAGCTGAACCGCGCCAAAGCAACACTAGAGGCAGAAAGCAGGGTGAAGCAGCGCCTCGAGTGTGAGAAGCAGCAGATCCAGAATGACTTAAATCAGTGGAAAACTCAATATTCCCGCAAGGAGGAGGCCATTAGGAAGATTGAATCAGAAAGAGAAAAGAGTGAGAGAGAGAAGAACAGCCTGAGGAGCGAGATTGAGAGACTCCAGGCAGAGATCAAGAGGATTGAAGAGAGGTGCAGGCGTAAACTAGAGGACTCTTCCAGGGAGACGCAGTCCCAGCTGGAGACGGAACGCTTCCGGCTTCAGAGAGAAATCGACAAGCTCAGACAGCGCTCCTGTGGGTCCCATCGGGAGACCCAGACGGAGTGTGAGTGGACGGTCGATACCTCAAAGCTGGTGTTCGAAGGACTGAGGAAGAAGGTGACGGCGATGCAGCTCTATGAGTGCCAAGTGATTGACAAGACGACCCTGGACAAGCTGATGAAGGGGACGAAGTCAGTGGAAGAAGTTGCTTCTGAAATCCAGCCTTTCCTTCGGGGTGCAGGAGCTATTGCTGGAGCCTCTGCTTCTCCGAAGGACAAGTACACTTTGGTAGAGGCCAAGAGAAAGAAATTAATCTCCCCAGAGTCCACGGTCATGCTTCTGGAGGCCCAGGCAGCCACTGGTGGGGTCATTGATCCCCACAGGAATGAGAAGCTGACTGTTGACACTGCCACTGCCCGGGACCTCATCGACTTTGATGACCGCCAGCAGATATACACAGCAGAAAAAGCCATCACAGGCTTTGATGATCCATTTTCAGGCAAGACAGTAGCTGTTTCTGAAGCTATCAAGAAAAATCTGATTGATAGAGAAACTGGAATGCGCCTGTTGGAAGCCCAGCTTGCATCCGGGGGTGTCGTGGATCCTGTTAACAGTGTCTTTTTGCCAAAAGATGTTGCCTTGGCCCGTGGGTTGATTGACAAAGATTTGTATCGGTCACTGAATGATCCCCGAGATAGTCAGAAAAACTTTGTGGACCCGTTCACCAAAAAGAAGGTCAGTTACTTGCAGCTGAGGGAACGGTGCAGAATTGAACCACATACGGGTCTGCTCTTGCTGTCGGTTCAGAAGAGAAGCATGTCCTTCCAAGGAATTAGACAACCTGTGACCGTCACCGAACTAGTCAATTCTGGCATATTGAGACCATCCACTGTAAATGAACTTGAATCAGGGCAGATTTCTTATGATGAGGTTGGTGAGAGAATCAAAGACTTCCTCCAGGGTTCAAGCTGCATAGCAGGTATATACAATGAGGCCACAAAACAGAAGCTTGGAATCTATGAGGCCATGAAAATCGGCTTGGTCCGACCAGGTACTGCTCTGGAGTTGCTCGAAGCCCAAGCAGCTACTGGCTTTATAGTGGATCCTGTTAGCAACTTGAGGTTACCAGTAGAAGAAGCTTACAAAAGAGGCCTGGTGGGCATTGAGTTTAAAGAGAAGCTCCTGTCTGCAGAACGAGCTGTCACTGGGTACAATGATCCTGAGACAGGAAACATCATTTCCTTGTTCCAAGCTATGAACAAGGAGCTCATTGAAAAGGGCCACGGCATTCGCTTATTGGAAGCCCAGATAGCAACCGGGGGCATCATTGACCCAAAGGAGAGCCATCGTTTACCAGTTGACATGGCCTACAAGAGGGGATATTTCAATGAGGAGCTTAGTGAGATTCTTTCAGATCCAAGCGATGATACAAAGGGATTTTTTGACCCTAACACTGAAGAAAACCTTACCTATCTGCAGCTAAAGGAAAGATGCATTAAGGATGAGGAAACAGGGCTCTGTCTTCTGCCCCTGAAAGAGAAGAAGAAGCAGGTGCAGACATCCCAAAAGAATACCCTCAGGAAGCGTAGAGTGGTCATAGTTGACCCAGAAACCAACAAGGAGATGTCTGTTCAGGAGGCCTACAGGAAGGGCCTGATCGATTATGAAACTTTCAAAGAACTGTGTGAGCAGGAATGTGAGTGGGAAGAAATAACCATCACTGGATCAGACGGCTCTACCAGGGTGGTCCTGGTAGACAGGAAAACAGGCAGTCAGTATGATATTCAGGAAGCCATTGACAAGGGCCTCGTTGACAGGAAGTTCTTTGATCAGTACCGGTCTGGCAGCCTCAGCCTCACTCAGTTTGCTGATATGATCTCCTTGAAAAATGGTGTAGGCAACAGCAGCAGCGTGGGTGGTGGTGTCAGTGATGATGTTTTTAGCAGCCCTCGACATGATTCTGTAAGTAAAATTTCAACCGTATCCAGCGTCAGGAATTTAACCATCAGGAGTAGCTCTCTGTCTGACCCTCTGGAAGAATCAAGCCCCATTGCGGCCATCTTTGACACAGAAAACCTGGAGAAAATTTCCATTTTTGAAGGCATAGAGCGAGGCATTGTGGATAGCATCACGGGCCAGAGGCTTCTGGAAGCTCAGGCCTGCACGGGCGGCATCATCCACCCTAACACGGGTCAGAAGCTATCACTCCAGGATGCTACCTCCCAGGGTCTGATTGACCAGGATATGGCCACCAGGCTGAAACCTGCTCAGAAAGCCTTCATTGGCTTTGAAGGAGGGAAGGGAAAGAAGATGTCAGCAGTAGAAGCCGTGAAAGAAAAATGGCTCCCATATGAGGCAGGGCAGCGCTTCCTGGAGTTCCAGTACCTCACAGGAGGCCTCGTTGATCCGGAAATACATGGGAGGATAAGCACTGAGGAAGCCATCAGGAAAGGCTTCATCGACGGCCGAGCTGCTCAGAGGCTGCAAGACATCAGCAGCTATGCCAAAATTCTGACCTGCCCCAAAACCAAATTGAAAATATCCTACAAGGATGCCATGAATCGCTCCATGGTAGAAGATATCACTGGGTTACGCCTTCTGGAAGCAGCCTCAGTTTCCTCCAAGGGCTTGCCTAGCCCTTATAACGTGTCTTCTGCTCCCGGCTCTCGCTCCGGCTCTCGCTCCGGTTCTCGCTCTGGGTCTCGTTCTGGTTCCCACAGTGGCTCCCGGAGGGGCAGTTTTGATGCAACAGGGAATTCTTCCTACTCTTACTCTTACTCATTTAGCAATAGCTCTATTGGGCATTAGTAGTCAGTTGGAAATGGTTGCTACACCTTAGCTTCTTTTATATGAATTTTCACTTTATTAAATAATAAGAAAGAAAACTCAGTGCTTGCAGTAGGGATAATATAACTTCGCTTAAGAAAATATAGTCATGTTTGAAATCAAACAGTAAAGGCTGTTCCGGCTTTTGATCTTCTTAGCTTATCTTAAACTAACATAATACTTCTTGGATGTAGTATGTATGAAATGGTAATCAATTGTAAGGATAGAACAAATTGAATTTAGCATTTGTTTCTTCTCTTCTGTGCTTAGATTTTTGACTAACTCTTCTTGAACTCTTGTTGGCATATGATATAGATTTCTGTTCTTGGAGATAAAAATAGATAATTGATATTTTTTAGTCATCATTCTGTTTCTCATCGAAATGTTACCTTTTTGTGGAGTAGGAGAAATCCACCGCCCTCCAAACAAAACCACCCAAAACCCAAGCATTTTGGAATGACTCCTTTAGTTTCTGAACGTGGACTGAATAACCCATATACTCTTAAATGTCCTTGTTTGGTTTGGTATTTGTGCATGATGGCAGCAATCTTTGCTTTTCTTCAAAGTTTTCTGTTTATTTTGCTTGTCATTTTCAATGTACTTTTTAAAAGGTGTCTTTATGAAGTTTGCTGTTCTGTCAATAAACTTTTAGACTTTTGAAGTCAGAGTGGCTTGATTTAATAATATTTATGCACACAAAGACACTTAGCAGTGGCTTTTATTTATATCTAAAACCACTTGTTCACTCAATACCTATTAAGAAACACCATTAAGTGGTCTTATAAGCTAGTGAGTGACCGTCTAAGATACATCAATTGGTCCCAACCCACCTGGAGCAAAGGAGAATGAATAACACCAAAGACACAAGGAAAATATTAGCC